CCATCCTCGGGACCCGGCCTCGCCCGGGGCAAACGAGGCCGGGGGACCGATCTATGTGACGTAATGGCGCCGGGAGTGTGCGGGCGCCCGCGACGCGTCGATCTCCGTCGCCCGGCCCCTCCCGGGGCGTGTGGCGCAATTACCCCCTGGCGCCCGGGCCACATGCCGGCGGCAGATCTCCCCCCCCCCTCCCCTCTCGGCCTCCCTCCTGCCCGGCGAGTGCGGTCAGGTTGATGCCGCGCCGTGGCACCGGCCCCGGCCGGGTGGGCGCACCCGGAAGACAAGCCCACCTTCCCCGTCCCCTCCACCCCCCCGCCCCCCCTGCTTTCTCGCCCCCCCCTCCCTCCCCGCCACCTGCGAGCACATACACACACACACACACACACACATATATATATATATATCCCCGTGGCCCCGAGCTGCCCTCAAGTTGTCCTCCAGGTCCCGGCCTCCCCCTCCCCACACGCGAACCATGTCCGGAGCACTGAAGCCGGACACCCTGCCGAAGGATTTCGTGGTCTGGGCACATAGCACCCTTTGCGAGTTCCTGCCCGGGGTTTTCGATGAGGCTTCAGTCCGGGACATCATCTGCGATCCGAGCTTCTCCTTCACCGTGCGTGTGCCCGCTGCCCGGAAGCACGCCGCCCACCCGGGCCAGCCCTGCTGACATCCGCTCCTCCGCCCCTCGCATGCTTCTCCCCACCGGCAGGACATCCTCGGCGACTCGAGGGAAGTGCGCAGCTTCGCCTCGGAGCTGAAGCGCCGTCTTGGCGAGCTGACCGCCCCCCCACCGGTGCGCACCCCTCTCTCCCCCTCCCCCCTGCTCCTGGCCGGCTGCCCGCTTGCCGGGCCCCGCGCACCTGCTTGGATGCTGACACGCATGTGCACACGTCGTCTGGCAGACTCGCCCGAATGCTGCGTTTGTCCCTCCGGCCATGCCCGCGGCACAGGCCGCCCCGGCCGCCCGGGCCAGGGCCCCCGCCGCTCCGCGAGCCAGCACCTCCCAGGCCTTCCCCCCTCCGTCGGCCGGCCCCGCTGTGGACCAACAGGCCTACACCCCGGTGGTTCCGCAGATGATTAACTCCAAGTACGTGGCCGCTTGGAGGGGGGCTTCGTCTCTCCGCCCGTCACACACACACACACACACACACACACACACACACACACACACACACACACACACACACACACACACACGGCCCCATCCACCCGGCTCCTCTGACGTTGTTGCGCCCCTTCCCTCCCCGGGCCCTGGTATGACAGGGTGTCTGTCATCATTCCCGCTTCGAGTCAACGCAGCCGCCGGACCAAGAAGGCCGCCGCCCAGGAGCCGGCCAGCTCGCAGCCCGCGTCCCCGGCCCTGGCTTCGGCCCCGGCCTCGGCCCCGGGCTCGTCCTCCTCGGCGGGGCTGCTGTTCCCCATGTCCACGTCGCTGATGCATCCGAAGGTCGAGCAGCCGGCCCCGGCGGAGCCCGAGCAGCCGGCCACCCCCGAGCCGGCCCCTGTGCTGACCCCGGCCCAGCGCGAGGCCGCGGCCCACCTGGAGGCCCAGCAGACCATGAAGGAGGTCCAGCGCCGGCGGGCCAACCTCCAGCGCCGTGCCCAGCGCATTGAGCTGATGGATTTCCTGGCGGCCTCGGCCGATGTCGAGACGCCGGTCGTCAATGGCATTTGCGGATGCATGGGTGCGTAGTGTGCCTCCGACGCGGGGTCGGCGCCGCGGGCTCTCGCCCCTGCCCGCCGCGCCGGCCGCCTGGCCTCTGGCCATTCCTTGCACCGATTCCCACGCCGGCGCCATGTGCCTCCCCCTCCTTTGTCGACCGCCCACTCACGCGCATCCCGCCGGTCCCCTGGTGCCATCAGCCACCGAGCACCCGGTCCTTTGCAATTGCCTCTCCTGCGGGCGAATTCTTTGTGTGCGCGAGGCCCCGGCGGCTGATGATGCCGGCGATGCCAAGTGTCCGGCCTGCGAGGAGCCGCTCTCGGACAACCAGTCTCTCATCGGTCGCTTGGCCATGCTGTCCACCCAACGGAGTGCGTGCCCGAGGGTTTTCTCGCGCGGGGGGGGGCACCCGGTCCTTCTGCCGCCTGGTCCCCATCAACTGACTCACCTTCTTGGGCTTCCTCGTTCCCTGGCTGGCTCCTTCCCCCCTTCAGAACTCCTGCGGAGCACCAAGGCCCCGGGCAAGGGCCGCCGCGACAAGGGCGGCAAGGCTGCCGCCGCTGCCAATGCCGCCGCCGCCGCCACGAAGCCCTCCTCCGACTCGCATGACGAAGTCCAGCGTGCTCTGGAGGGCGCGATCCTGGTGCGTGATGCGCAGGTGGAGCGCGGCAAGAAGAATGCCAAGCGCTCGGTCATCCGCGGTACGCGCGCCACACCTCCTCCTCCTTCTTCTTCTCCTCCTCCTCCTCCTTCTCCTCCTCCCCCTCCTCCTCACCCTCATCCTCACCCTCCTCCTCCTTCTTCTTCTTCTCCTCCTCATCCTCCTCATTCTCCTCATCCTCATCCTCATCCTTCCCCGTCCTCCCGGCTCTCGACCGAGCGCAGATCTCGACACGGATTACTTCGCGGCCGACAGTGCCGCCACCATGTCCTACCTGTCGGACACACAGAAGGAGCGCCTGCGCGAAGCACAAGACCGCCTGCTGGCCGTGCTGGAAAAGAACCGGTCCTCTTTCGCGTCGTACAGCTCCGGGCACATTGGCAAGAATGAGGGCAATGCCCGGACCATGCTCCTGGACCTGGATCTGGAGACCATGAGTGTCAACATCACGGATGGCCACGATGCGGAGGGTGCGTTTCCGGCCGTTTGGCCGGCTGCCGGGTGTCGGCCTGCGCCTCCCCGCCCGGGGCGTGGGCCCGGCTTGGCCATCCCACTACCCCCTCCTTGAGCTCGGGTCACATGTACTCACCCGGCCAACCGACCGTCCTCCTCGGCCTGTCTGCCTTCCCTCTCGCACTGGACCCCACCCGGGCACACCTCGCAGTGGAGAAGGCCAAGCAGCAATACGAGGAGGAGTATGCCAGCATTCTGATGTCCAACCGCGAGGACATTGCCCGGCTGGATGAGATCGCCGCGCAGAATCTCCAGCGTGCACGCGACGACCTCATCAAGTCCATGCAAAGCAAAAACAGCGCCGAGTTCCCGGACCTCATGGATAAACCCGCCAGGCAGAAGCCCATCGTGTGCGTCGACATGCGGCTCCCTTCTCTCCCCTCCCTCCCTCCTCCCCTGACTCCTGGCTAACTGCCTGTTGAACTGCCACTCCCCCCGACAGCGGCCGCTCCAAGCTGTCGGTCTTCCAGGATGATGAGGAAGACAACGCATTGGCTCGGGCCGCCGACGCTGCCTTTGCTGAGGCCGAGGCTGACACCGGGTCAGGGCTCGACACCGAGGCCGACCCGCCAGCCGCCCTGGACTGCCGACTGCCGAAGACCTTCTCCGCGCAGGACTTCGGCAAGTGCATTGCCTTCGTACGTGCTGCCCTCCTGCGGCCGGAGGTCGGACCCCCGCTCCGGGATGCCCTGCCGCCTGTGCCAACCCTCGCTTCTGCCGCTCTGCCGCTCTCTCTCTCTCTCTTTCTCCCCCTCTTTCTTTCGCCCCTCTCCGCCCATGACTCACCCTCTCGCTGTCGCGGCTCCCCCCACCCCAGCCGCAGCCGTGGGCGTCGCTGATCGCACGCGGGGTAGTCCCCTTCGCTTACAGTGACCAGCGCCCGACCTACCGTGGTCCGGTGTGGATCGCCTCCAATAGCAACACCGAGCCGAAGGACCGGCTGAAGGCCATCACCACCGCCGTCATCGACCACTATACGGCCAACACGGAGCCCATCGATCGGCGTATGTGGCCCATGCACCTCTGTCTGGCCTTCTTTCACCTTCTCTCTCTCTCTCTCTTTCCTCCTTGCTCCCTCTCTCGCGCTTTGGTGTGCTTGTCCCACTTGTCATGGGTCCCGGGCCAAGAGGACGCGCTCCTCCCCCCTTGCCGAGATGCTGACAGCCTCCTCGCACCACACAGCCCATCACTCGAACGACTTCATCTTCTACACCGGCAACCACATCTACGGGCGAGTGGAGATCGTCGACATCATCACACGCGAGGAGTTCGCCGCCCGCTATCCCCACCTGCTGGAGGTCCCGTACGCTACGCAGTCCAACATGTCCGGGCCGTATGTCTTCCTCTTCCGCAATCCGGAGTCCTTGTACAAGCCGGTCCCGGTGGACCCGAGCTTCTCCATCTGTGCGTGGACCCCTCTGTCGTGAGATGTGTGCCCCCTTCGCCGGCCCCTTTCGGCATTGCTCTTGCGCTTCTGCTGGTTTGTTTGGTTGCTTGGTTTTTTTTTGCCCGTATCTCACACCACTGACCTGGCCGATGAAAAAAAAAAACTCCTCCTCCTTTCCAGGGGATCTCCCAATGCCGGCCATCACCATGCTCAAGGAGATGATCGAGCGCTCCAAGGTGGGCGTGTCCTTCTCGGCCATGCTTGGCCAGTTCCAGTGAACAAGGACCTGCGTCCCCTCTCCCCGCCACACCATAGGCGGGGGGGAGGAAATCACCGCGCACACACACCAATAAATGCCCCATAGACAAAGCCGCACGTCCGGGGCCGCCGCCATTTTATTTGTTCATTTTTCCCGCATGTCCGCGGATTCCTCCCCAAAGGGGGGGGGGGCCGCCAGGGAAGGGCTCTCCCTCCTTGGACGCGGGGAGCGATCGTCCAACTGAACACAAGAAAAATGGCGGCGCTTTTCGAGGGCCGGGGGGGATGTGCGCACGTCGCCCTCGCAGGTGATGGGCTGACATGGCCATCACGAGGGGCATGCCTCCGCACGTGAACCCCTCACGTGCGTGCGGTGCTTGCCCGCTGGCACCCTGCGCCGACGCGCGCGCACCCTGCCGACGGTGAATCATCGCGCCCGCCCGGATGAGGGATGACCTGGGGCCTGCGGCCCGGCCGGAGCAGGGCGGGCGGGCCTGATCGGCCCTCGGCCGCCGCGTGTCCCGGGTGCGTTCCGGCGCGCCGGCTCGCCCACATTCACGCCGACGCATACGGACGCATGCGTATCCGGCGGGGGCGCGCCCCGCTCCCTGCCGGGCTCGCGGTGTGCGTACCCGCGCCGGCTCCTGTGGGGCGGCGCGCCTGCGGCAGAGGGACTCCGGCGGAAAGTTGGGGGCGCAGGGCGCAGGGCGACTTGCGGCGAGATTGGGGCGCGCATGCCGGCCGCGCTCGCTGCCCCGCCCCCCCCCCCCCCAACCGGGATGCGCCGGAAGACGCGGCCAGGGCAGGCAAGCCCGAGGAAAAGGGGCGTCGTCATCTGTCCCTCCGGCGGGGCTCTTGATGGCCCGCGACCCCACTCATTTTCTCGGGCCCCACATGCACGACGGGCAACGGGGGGGGGTGGGCCTCCCCGCACGGGCGACGAGAGGGACCCGGCCGGCGCCCTGTCGCGGGGGCCTGCGTCGGCCGCTCGCCCCCCTGTTTCCCCATCCCCCTGCGGCCGGGGCGGCGCGCCATCCATTGGAGCCGAGTGTGAAGTCCGGGGCGTGCTCGTCCGTTGGCCGGCCCGCAGATCCGCCTGGTCGGCGCCACAGCTCCCGGGTCCCGGCCGAACCGCAACAGGGAAGCCCCCCGGCCCCCGGCCCCCGGTCCCCGGCCCCATGCACAGGGCCACACCCGGGCGTCCCCCGTCCTGCCCCGCGCCGATGGGAATCGGAAACCCCAGGCCGGTCGGGGGCGCGGCGGCGGTGGCGGCGGCGGCGGCAGGATGCCTCCCTGGGCGGGATTTTCGGCTGCCCAGCCGCCCGCCCCAGCCGGGCCCGGCAGATCACACACACCCCTCCCCGCCCCATCGCCTCCTCCCCTCGCCCTCCCCCACGAGCCCGGTCCCGGTGCCCGTTTGTCCCCCCCTCCCCCCCCCTCCCCCCCTGCAGACCGCCATGACCGTCTCCGGCCCCGTCCGCGAGCGTGTTGCCTCCATCCACGATCTGAAGGATGGCGAGATGTACGCCCCCCCCCCCCCCCGTCGGACGTCGAGACCCCGACCGATCACCCCTCGCCCCTGCCCTTCTCCCCTGGGACGGCAACCGCACCCTCGCATCGCCCTGCCGCCTCCGGCCGACTGTGTATCCCGCCCTCGGCTGACCCCTCGCCGCCTTCGCCCGCGCACACAGCAAGCAAATCCGCGTGGCCGACAAGCCGGTCCTCCTGTCCCGCGTGAAGGGCCGCTACTATGTCACCTCGCACCTGTGCCCGCACAAGCGCGTCAACCTGAAGGACGGCATCATCTCCGAGGACGGGACCATCACCTGCCCGGCGCATGGCGCCTGCTTCCGTCTGGACACCGGCGACATCGAGGACATGCCGACCATGGACGGCCTGGTCACGCACTCGGTGGTCATTGAGGGGGAGGATGTCATTGTTTTCACCACCCACGAGAAGCTGGCGCGCAGTACGTGCCGGTGTGGCCTCCATTCGCCTCCCGCCCTCGCGGCGGCTATGCTCACCCTTTCCCTCCCCCTGCCCCCCCCCCCCCCCCCCCCCCCCCCCCCCCCCGCGTGCGGCCGCCTGCCTGATGGCTCCCGACCGTAGACCGCCGCGCCCGCGTCATCAAGTGCGCCCCCCCGGCCTCCACTCGGCCGACCATCGTCATTGTGGTGCGTGCCGCATGCCCCCTCTGGGTCTTGCCTCCTCCCTCCCCTGTGCCGTGGGGCTCCCCCCGGCCGCGCCGCTTCTTTGGCTTTTCCCTTTTTTTTTCTCTCGGCCCGCGTTCCCAAACCACGGCCGCCTCCTGCCGGCCCCCTCGCTCACATGCGCGCGTGCCCATGCACCCACCCTCGCACACCAGGGCGGCGGCGCTTCCGGTGCCACGGCCGCCGAGGAGCTCCGCGTGTCTGGCTTCGACGGGCGCATCGTCATGATCTCGGCCGAGCCGCACCAGCCGATCGATCGCATCCAGCTGTCCAAGCAGCTGAAGAAGCCCTCGGACAAGTCCATCGTCGATGGCGGCATCATGCTCCGCGACCGGGACTACTACGAGTCCATCAATGTCGAGCTGCATCTCGGCGACCCGGTGGCCTCCATCAACACCACCGACAACTTCGTCACCACCGCCGCCGGCCAGCACTTCGAGTTTGACCAGCTGCTGGTTTGCTCCGGTGCCAATCCCCGGAATGTGTGGCCCGCCACCGCCGACGCCCGGAACATGGCTCCCATCCGCACTCTGGCCGACATTGACCGTCTGCTGGACGGTGCGCGCCCCCCCCCCCTCCCCTCCACCTTTTGGCCCCTCTGTGGCGCCCTCCTTCTGCCGTCTCCCCCTCCCCGCCCCCCCCACCCCCGCTCGCCTCC